CATGTGATCGTCTCCCTGCGATGTGTCACGTTATGTCGCTAGCTCGACTAGCAAACAGCGGGTTAGCGAGCTTTAGCTTCCCTCCACCGCACAGTTCCGGGGTCGGCTAAAGTGTTAGCATCTCCGCCGGTGACCCGCGAGAGACACGGGCGTCCGCCGCGACCAGCCCGGCGGTGAACTCGCTCCAGACGCGACACGGTAACCGCAGAGACGCGGTCATGCTGCTGCTAGCACACACACACACACACACACACCGCTAAGCTAACGGAGCTACACAGACGGAGGCTAGCTACCTGAGGAGTTCGGCGGTGGGAGCACGAGCGTCCCGGCGGCAGGTGACGGGACCTGCGGGGCTGTCCACACGCTGAGGCGTCGCTGCGGCGTCGCTCGTCGGCTCCGGGGGGTCGACTGAGCCGCTGGAGCCGGAATTAGACGCGAGAGAGTCGAGAGGAAGCTTCGACCAGCGGAAAAGATCTGCGCATCACCGCAGAGGACATGTTAGGATACCGCACATGCGCACACGGCCGCGGCCAACACCGACCCCTGCTGGACACACCGCGGCACTGCAGCCGTTTCAAATTCAACACGAGAGCGAAGTTAAATTCCAAATAAATTGAGATTAAAGTTAAAATAAAGTTACACGAGATGTGATTAAGGATAAAATGAGTTCATGTGATGTGATACAGTACAATGGAAGATAAGTTGTAATGACAGATGATTAGATGAGATTGAAGATAAAATAAGATAATAGACGATGAGTTAGAATGAGATAAGTAAAAATAAAGATAGGATTAGGTAAGATTGAAGTTCAGTTAAAATAAGATAAGTCGTTTATTTCTCCTGAATGTTCTTAAAGGTCATAAAGACATTTTATTTTTACCATAAGCTTCCGAATGAAACATGACTTTAATTCCTACAAAAATCTGACATTTCACTCCAAATTTCAAGCCAAACATTTTTTTTCAATTGAAGCTCATTTGCAGACGTGATATTCTCAGAATGATCTAAATAGATAAATAATCTTTTTTTAAACACACATATGTTCAGCTTCATTCTCTCATAGACTGCAGAATAATGTTTAAAACTGTTCGAGTTTATAATCTGAGAGTTTCTCGTGTTTCTGTCTCAGAACATTTGATCCTCATCAAACTCAGGCAGCAGCTGTTTCCTGTTCCACTGATTATTTCACATGTTGCAGCTTTTGTGAGTCGAGCGTCACGTGGAACCAGAAGCTTCTCTTCTTCTGTTTGTCTAAAGGAAAACTGACTGTAAAAAACAAAACTTGATTTCCGGAAGCTGTCGTCGTCTTCCCTCTGAAGAGTTTTATTCTAACAGGTTGAGCAGGAACGTGATTCCGAAAATGGAGGGTAAAGATTTTCTTATGTTAATTTTTCCAAATTCAATTGAAATTTTTCTGACGAGCAGAGCGTTTCTACATCGTTTCTTGTTTTGATATTTCCCCTGCTGCTTTCTTTAGATGGAAACAAACAGCCGCACACATTTGGGAGTGGACAACAGAGAACTAACCACCCCAGACCTTTTTTCTACGTCCAGCCTCCATCTCAACCTTATTACCTCTACCAGCACTGGCAGCTGAACAACCCTTACAGTCACTATGGTTTGCCTGGAGGTATCGAGCTCTTTAAACTTTACTTTATGCAGCAGCCATCCACTGTTGAGTTCCTAAAATCTCACATTTATGTTTTTATTATTCCTCTAGGTTTTAATTTCAACCGTCCCTGCATGCCACCCTACCAGTACATGCAGTACCCTGGCTACGTTTTCCCTCATGCTCCCATGTATCCGGTTGACAACAGGCGAATGTTTGAGCCTCGGTTCCATGCTCCCGCCTGGAACCAGCAGCATCACTTGCAACCTCATGGGCGTCGAGAAATGGCCTGTTCAGAGGCCCAGACGGACCCCAGTGATGCTATATCCAAGCTAATCGAGTGCCTGGATAAAATTCGAGCCAACGAGCTGCAGGGCGCCGAGAGAGAACTTGACTCTGGTGTCGCCTCCCAGTCCTCAGGCATGTTTTCTCCAGGAGAAGAGAGGAAGAGTGAAGGGCAGGGTCACATCCTGCCTTCAGTGCCGGATGACAGTCCTGCCGTGGCCTTCAGTGACTCCACAACAGCCGTGTACGATGCAGAGTCCAGCCACAGGAGCCTGGACGTCATGAGCCCTCAGGAATGCTGGTCAGGAGCCTTGGAGGAAGAGCTTCCCCTCGATAGCTCCTCTGTTCATGAAGACTGCCCAGAGCTCGAGCAGCTGGCAGAGGATCAACACTTTCCCCCTCTGGAGAACGAAAAGGTCACAGATATCCGGTCAGATGTCTTAGAGACTGATCCCAGCGTTCCCAAATGTGAGGTGGAAGAGCTCCTGAAGTCGTCACTGGCACCTTCCTTCTCCAGTCAGCTAGTCCTAAAGGAACCTAAGAGCAGTGACACCGCCTTGAAGTCAGAACATCAGGCAGCGTCTCCGGATGAAGCCAGATCAGATGCAAGCTACCAGATCCTCAAGTTGCCCTTTGAGAGCATTTTGACGCCTGGAGCTGCAGGAGCCGGTCGCCTCTCCTCCCCTGCAGCCCCCTACTTCTACAACTACCTCTCCATGCAGACCACGCACGAGCGGATGAGCGTCCTCAGTCCGTCTCTGGATGAGCTTTCCTCCAGGGATGAGATGTTCTCCACAGATCTGGACGACGTGGAGCTTTTCCCCAAACACGTGTATACAGGCCAGAAGCTGGCAGAGGTCGTTGGTGCGTCGCCTCAGGCTGCCGAAGAAGTAGAAGAAGTGTGGCTGCCGGGTTCCAAGAGGTTCATGTGCGCCTGCTGTGGGAAGAACCTGGCAAAGGGTGCAGGTAGGACCAAAGCCCAAAGCTCCACTGTGTACAGAGACGAAGCCGGGGACTCTGAGGAGGAAGGCAGGTATAGAAGAGGGTGTGAGCAGCCGGTCAGGGTGGTGGTGAGGAAGCATTCTGCACCCAGGAAGCCTCAGTCTGTCCCACTGAGACATCCAGTAAGACCCTGGTATAAAAGAAACCAGTACAAAGACCCCTCGCATCCATTCGACCAGGAGGGAGGTCACGACCTCTGCAAGCAGGAAGCAGCTGAGGGTGAGATCGGAGCCGTGACTGGCGGCGAGCTGCAGTTCAGAACATGTGAGGGTGAGAGTCTCAGCTTTTCACATCTTTAATTCAACAGTCATCTTTAGCCCAAATGTGTGAAACGTGTGAATCATGTTATAGACCGAGTCTGCAGAGACGATCTGACCACTGCAGAGAAAAGCCGGTGGGCCGACGGAGACGTGATTCCCAGGAGGAGACAAGGAGCCGCTCTGCCCCGACAAGGTGAGAGAAAGAGAAACCGTCAGTTCGAAGAAGAATCAGAATGAGCAGCCCAACAGTCCTTTTTAAATTCTATCAAGTTGCTTTGAATTTCACACACTCATAAATCTCAGTCCCCTAAATATGCCTGATTAGTTTATTTAAGATTCTTGAATTAACTTTCTGAAAAAAAAATCAAGCAAAATGTTAAAAGTTTCTGTGGAAAATGAAAAAAAAACAACCTACTGGACCCGCCCCCTGACGCGGATCACACCAGGATTTAACCGGTTCTTTGCTGCATCACATCCTTCCACCAAATTCTGTGGAAATCTGTTCTGCAGTTTTTACACAATCCAAACAAGACAAACAAAACAAAATGACGTCCCTGGCTGCAGTATGAGGCGCTGAGGGGGCTGCAGCACCATCTATTGGCGAAAAGTGTAATTACAGAGCTTAAAGTTTTAGTTCCTTTAGTTCTCCAGAGTGAAACTTTGACAATAACATTTATTTCTTTGTTTGATTGTATTTTTAGAACCGTCACTGTATTTAATCACGATTGTTTGCTGACGTCTTTAATTTACACCGACTCTGTCGTTGATGATTTACTTCCTGTCTTCGACAGAGATGAGTTCTCAGAGGAAAGTGATGTACCAGCGGCCGAGAGACGACGACGACGCGCCGCCTCCGTTACACTGGGAGCGAGGTGGCCTAAGGCTTTTTCTTCTGTAAAACTGTTTATACTTTCACTTTGTTCACATCTCTGAATGTTGGGATTTCTTTACGCAGGCTCGACCATGAGAGGAGAACCAAGGTGTTGACGTCCCTGGACCGACTTTTGATCAACGTGTTGAACTGTAGGTGAAACTGTTATTTCTATAGACTGTAAATAAAGATGGACGACTCGATCTTATAGCTTATAAACTCTGCCTCCTCCATGTTGGTGGATGGGGTTTACACTAAAAAGTAAGAAATACACAGAATAGATTGAGGTATTAGATTATTTTATCAATACATATTCATGATTCTTTGTTGATTTTATACATTATTATTGTTATTGATGCCACTTAGAATACGGTGAAACATGATTGACAGCTGAGACTGACTCGTGATTGGTGGAAGCCTCACGTTGGGAAAGTGGGAGGAAGTTAAGACGTCTTCCATCTTTATTTACAGTCTATGATTATTTCTCAAACCTGCAACACAACAAGATGTGATTTATGTCTCCTCTCCTCCTCAGGTCCCCCTGAAGGTGTTAATGTTCCAGGATAATGTAATGACTTAGAGCACCAGGTGAAATGCACTGCACAGGAAGCCTCTTTTTGTTAAATGTGAAAATTAAAAAAATATATAAGTATAAAGTTTCTGCAGAGACACTGCCTTGCACTATTCATGATAAATGGATTTCACGACCAGGCAAACGGGCTGAGAATGATGGTGTTGCCACTGTTTGGGGCCAGTCCAATAAAGTACTGTCATTATTATTTAAGTTTTGTCTTTTAATTATTTTGTGAAATCGTGTGTTCGTGTTCCAGTGTCCAGGTTAATATGTGTCTCAGTTAAAATAGCTGGACATCCTGAAGAAGCAGGTTTATTTTTTTCACTCTGTATCTGGATAACTTGAATATTTATATAAATTCTCCTTAGATTCAACACAATGAGAGAACAGTGACACAGCATTTATCAGTCAGATCAGTGAATGTTTAATCAATCTTAATACAGACAAATGTGTGGATCTGCAGTATCACATCACTATAAACTGAATATTCAAGAGATTATTGGCTGTTGAGTGGATGAAAGAGAAGTTTAATTTCAACTTTATTAAAAATCATGAACGTCTTTATCACAAAACCTGGTGGAAGAATCTGGGACGTGTTGCAGAAGAACCCATTTTTGTCTTTAACATTGTGTGATAAGACATTTTCACAGATATTGCAAAGAATAATTCATGGATCTTGATGAAAAGACTGATATTTATGAGTGTGTGTAATCTAGTGCAGATACAAATAAATATCTTGATCTAGTGACGCAGTGTTTTCACAAGGGAACTGTTCCATTGGTCTATTGACTGATAAATGGATGTTATTTAGATTTTTGGCAAATTACTCTTCACTGTCATTGGCCTAAAAAGAATTAATCGCAGCTCTTCTATTTCACCAATGGATGGCGATGATGCTCCAAACATTTAAAGGGAAGGGCTGTTTGTAAAAACATTGATGAATGCAAATGTCAGAATAAGCTGCTGTGACAATTTGCAAAAGTAGATATGTGTGAAGAAAATAAGATTTAAATGAGACCATTGCTGTGAATCTCACTAAACAAATAATCCATAATTTAAAATCACAGTCAAGTTATGAGAGCATGTTTATTTAAATAAAATATAAACATATAAAACACTCTCATCTAACTTCATAACTGACCTTTCAGGGGTCAAACGAGTCTGGAGCTCAGAGCGAAGCTAAAATAAACAGGAAGTTCCTCTTTGCATCTCACGCCTATAACCTGTGGTTCTGTCATCTCGCCAACAACACGACCAAGTCAGGAGCCAATCCACAGAAATCTGATCCGAGACGCTGATCCTCCTTTTCGTCCCATCTCTGATCTGTTGCGTGACCTTCCACAGGTGAGTTGATGTGCCGCAGTGGGAGGGAACCAGTGACACAAACACTTTTCATTGGCTGTAAGTGCAGGTCATTAACGTCTAATTGGACAATCGTCACCTGGGACAAAAATCTGTCCAATCAGTGTCACATTTTAGGAGCAGAGCTGAACCTTCAGTCCTCACCTTTGATTTCCAACTTCAGCCATATTGGAAAGTTGTGTTGGTTTGTTAGTGAAGTTAGTTTTTTGCTCTTTCTGCTGTAAAATACTCTGAAACTGTCCGGTGTGTCTTTGTCCGATATTATGGACGCAGCCACGTCTACGTTGCACCACTCTTTCGGTCTGGGCCCTCGGGGTCCGATGCCTCCACATGGAGCTCCGCAGGCCCAGGGGCCCCATCAACAAGCTCCAGGCTCTTCAGGAGCTCCACGTGCTGAGGAGCAGCACCACAAACCTTTCTTCTACATCCAGCCCTCGCAGCCGTACATGTCCATGCAGGGTCTGCAGTGGCCTGTGCCGATGCCCATGCCAATGTCCTACAACCCGTACTACGGCTACCCTGGTTTAGGTAAAGAAGCTAAAGTCTCAATCTCCTTTTCTGTCTCGTGCAATTCATCTTAAATGCAAATCTTTTCGTGACAAGAATCTCTGTTGTATTTGGTGTTTTTCTAATCCTGAACTCAGATGCACAAGTGTCTCCTGCCGCTTCAAGTATTTGAGTAATTTCATGCTACGAAGTTCACATTTATGGATTCTAGATGGTGAATGCATGACTTTGCTGATCCCCCTGACTTTTCCTCTAGCGCCACCATGAGGTGCACATTTGTGGTTTTGGATTAAATGTCTCAACAACTATGGGACAGATGAGGTTTTGTACACACGCATGTTTACCTCATGATTTCTAAACCCAGAGGAAAATGTTACTTCTCATAATTGTCTTTTCTATATGAAAGTTGAATTTTCTTTTCCTCTTAGAACCTTTTTTCAAAAACCTGTGACCGGAAGCTTCGGCTGTTTCTATGTGTTTTAATGCAGATCACCAACGTTTGCATACAAACACCCAACAGTTAAATAAAGAGCAAAGTACCTTAGTTTATATTGAGACCATGTTAGTACTCTGCGTTCCTGTGGTTTAGAAATACGCTTTGTTTGGACAAAGATTAATTTATTCAGTCAGATGTTGGCCACTCATTTCAGTTTTCTGTTTAAGGTTATGGGATGCCGATGATGCCTCACTATCAGCCGAATCCATACATGGAGCCCCCTGGCTTTGTGGTACCCCACACCCACCTCCACCTGATGGACTACAGACGCTTGCTGAACCCTCAGTACTACCAGACCATGGCGTACCACTCCCGCAGGTTCCGCTACCAACAAAACGGCCCGACCAGGGAAATGACCAGCTCTCAGGTTCAAACTGAGCCCCTGTCTGCGGCCCAGAGGAGCAGCACGCCGGCCTCCAGTGACGCCTCAGCTGCTTCAGTCTGCAGCAGCAACTCCCCCAACCAAATGATCTCACCAGTCAAAAATGTTCTGGAGCTTGAAGATCCGTCGCCCTCTTCCCCGACCAGGACGCCACCGAATGGCAGCTTCGTGATTCAGACGGAGGAAGTGAGGATTGAGTGCTGCACGACACCGGGGGGATTACAACTTCTGCACGCTCGTGAGACGGCAGAGGTGTCCCACAGGTTTTCACAAGATGTGGTACAGCGTAGCGCCATCCTCCAGGGTGGCGTGCTGCAGGACGACGGGCTGCGTCTTCCTGCAGACCAGTCGGAGCAGGCTCTTCAAGCTTGTCCTGACATTCTTCTAGTTGGTGGTGGTGAAGATATCTCTGCTCTGGAGGAGTCCAGGGATCCGACGGACCCTGTCGCTGAGGTCTCGAATGTGGGGTCTCAAGTCGCAACTCATGGGGATGTTGACGAGACGAAGAGGGAGGAAGACCTGAGTAACTTTCGTTTCAATATTGTTCACCTGCCCTTTGACCCCAAGTACCTGGATGAGCTGCGGAAGATGGAGTCCACCGTTTGGTCGGTGGAGGAAACCTTGATCCCCTCCGCTGACTCACTGATCCAAAATGGCTGCACAGACTCTCATGAGGAAACACCGGCTGCTGTCACTGAAGTGTTGTCGGTGGATGTGCCGACACTGAAAGAGGAGGCTCCTGCAGAAGAGGTCACCATGATCGAAATGCCTCCTTTGGCAGAGGACGAACTAGAGGACATGGTCCCCGCTGCGGAGAGTCCTGTGGATGAGATGGCGTCTGCAGCTGAGATCTGCCCCATCATGGACGTCGCAGAGGACGCTCCCATCCTCAAACTGATGCACACAGCGGAGGTGGATCTTGCAGGTAATCTGTTGGGTAATTCCCCTCTGAAGCGAGTTAGAAACCAACACAGAAGAGAAACAGACGTCCAGGATCATCAGGACACTTCGTTTGAATCACTGCCCGCCTACCTCCCCTCATCCAGCTGGTTGGCCGACTTCGACAACGTCTACTATTGCAGCAAGATGCCACCAACTCCTAAGAAGCAGAGCAAACCTGCGAACAGCTGTGGTTTGGATGTTCCCACCACAAGAAGAAAACTAGAACTAGAGTATAAAGAGCAGCACAACGTTCGCAAACCAAAGGAGAGGTTCAAACTCAAAGGGAAAGTGGATCGGCGAAGCCTCTCTGACCACGAATGCTGCCTCCGAAGAAATTTCAACGAGAACGCGCTTGCCTCGTACGCGTCCAAGAGGGAGCGACTCTGCTCCAGGTGTTCGGCAAAACGAAGTATCTGCACGTCAGCCAGTCCAGGACTTGACGGAGGAAGGAACTTAAAGAGAAAAGCTGGTCCCCTCCAACAGTGGAATGAAGCTCCCATACCAACATGTGAAGCTTGTAAATTTCACACCAAGAAACCGGTGACAAAAAGCTCCAGCCCTGACGTCCGTGGTCTCCATCAGGGACTCGACACCGAGGGAGAGTCTTCTGAGAACAGCTCGTGTCGCAGGGGATCAAAATGGAGGCCAGGCGACGATCGCAGGAAGCCGGCGGACTTCAAGAGGCCGCTGGCGTCCAAACAGAACCAGGAGAAGTGTCCTGCGGCGGCGTACCCGAAGCTCAGGGAGAAGAACTGCGTGTGCAACGAGCTGCAGCATCAGCCCGTCGCATGGGAGCGGCTGCGCCACTGTCACCACGGCAACAACATCCCGGAAATGGATGAAAACTGCGTCATGCCGGCTTCTGTGCAGGACAAATGGAGGAATGTGGATCAGGTTTACTGGACACACAGGTGGCAAAGTGGTACGTACGTCTCATGACAATGTTCAGAATTCACTGAAGCTTCTCATGGGTGAATATTTAAGAGTTTTCTGAATGTTAGTTTGGCTCCAGACAAATTAAACAAACCTTCCTCCATCAGACGTGTTAATGATGAAAATAACTGAAGCTGCATCAAACAGTTCTTTGTTTTAATGAAACATTTTAGATTTTATTATTAATCAATTAACAGATTTTGGGTTATTTGTGTATTTGTTGAACTCGACTCTGTTGGTAAATCTACAATTTGTCTTCCAACAGAGAAATCGTGGAAAGCGATGATGCCCGACGTCGACGGCTCCAAGAAGGAGGCCAGATCACAACACTTGAATAAACACAAAAAATCACAATCACAAGGTTTGTTTCTGACGTCGTCCAGAATCAACTTGACAAGTTATTTTATAGAAGAGGGGAAAAAAAGGATGGGAACTCTAAATGCAGAGAATCTATATACGTATATTATTATAATATCTCCGACCTGTTTGTGATTCTATGGAGAATATATTGTCATGATATTGTAAACTGAAATGTTTGACTTTCTGTTTTAAATTTGTTTTCTCTC